GAGCGTGTCACAGTGCCCCTACTGTAATGCAGAAACCAACTCTGTGATTCATCTCCTCGACAGATGTCAACATTTCGCAGTAACCAGAGCAAGCCTATTTGAAAATACAAACCCTTCTAGTTTATTAAGAAATCATGACGCTGTATCTATAGACAAAATAAATGAATTCCTTAGGTTAACAGATCTTAAGAAATTAATCTAGAGTTAATTATCTATAAGCCTTTAGTTAATCTAAGCAAAAACTGTATCCTAATTAAAAAAGCGAGCCGAAGGTGTTCTTACTAGTGCTCCTTTTTCAGTAAAGAAGGCATTTTGCGCTTCTTTTCTTCTAATAAATAAATAAATACATTTTTTTCCTGAACTTTGACCCCTTATAGCACCTGTAATATAAGTCTGCACAAAAAAATAGTTATATACCATTTAAATAAGAGCAAAAATAGGACTACGCCTATATTTTTAGGTTTTTAGTTATTTACATGCAATAATTAAATATAATTATTTACCAAAGGTCCTTTTTCGAATTTCGAGGGGCCATATCTCGATTTCGGAGGCTAACTTCGAAAAACGGATAGATCACTCTTTTACCTATGACTCAATCTCTAAAAAAAAATCGGTTTGGTCCAATACCCAGAAAAAAAGTTTATTTTGCCGTACAGTGCATTTTTTTATGGAAACTTTCAATTAAAACAGTAATTGTTGGTTTGGTGTTACTTCTCAAATAGGGAAAATAATGATTTCATATCAAATGTTACATAATAACTCTAGGTTGCTAAATTATCAACACCTTAATAACACGGCTCATTTTTCAAGAAATATTTTCTTCAAAAAGGTATAATTAATTTGTAGGGCCGAGGGATCCTCATTCCTTTACCAAAACCTAATTCAAAGGTCGCTTTAAGGATCTACGAGAAGAAAATCCGCGCATACTCGCGCCGCCACCTTTTTTATTTCACTAGACAAACTTTAGCAGTTGTTCCAAATAACAGGCCTATTCTGCGTTGGTAACAAAAATTTTGTTACCGGTAAATAAAGTTCCTGGTAATTTTTCGCATTCTGCACACTGATATATTTTGTTACCATCTCATAAGCAGGTATCAAAATATTTCCCCGTGAAGTAAGCAACACCAGAATTTATACAAATTTTTATAGCAGAATTGCTGAGTAGATTAAATTGTTACCAAGTTACTTAGAATTGCGGTTACAAGAAGTGGTGTTATTTTTGGTAACAAAATTTCCGGTGTCAAAATGTTCGGAAAAGAGCAGAATACGTCTGAAAGTGTACTAAAATATTAAAGATTAATGTAATTTATTCTATATTTATCATCATATCATTTATAAGATGTGTCTTAACAAAGCTGAAGTCAATTTTCAAAAATCCAATAACGAATCAAATATGGCAAATATGAAATTTTGTATTTAGAGGTTCTTAAGCTCGCTCACTGCAAATTTCAAACTAGTTTTTGAAAATATTTGATCATAAATTCATTTTAGATATGTTCCCTCCTATATAATAAATCAAATTTTGTTTAATATATTGTGTTACTCAACTGAAAATTACAGTTGATTTGACAGTTGTCAACCGAAAAAGAATGTGATACAGAACTGGAGATCAGTGAGCCTTAAAACATAGTACGTTTAATTCTTGGAGAATTTTCCTTATTTAATTTAAGGTTTTAATTTGACGTAAATTCGTGACTAAAACCCTTATAACTAGCATCTTAAAAGATATTTGAAAAATTAACAAAGATTGTCTTAGTTTTAGAAAAATTTGCAGTCCATTTGACAGCTTTCAACTGTAAAGGTTTCAATTTGACAAAAAATTCGTGATCAGCATGTCAAAAAACGTAATCCGTGGGTATTTTCAAAAACATTTTCTTAATTTTAGAGAAATTGGCAGTTGATTGGACAGCTCTCAACTGTCAAACTATGCATTTTCTGGTATATTCGGATTAAGCATACTACGATCCCGCAGTTTTATTATAATCGTAATAGCACTTCTAATTATTCACGTGAAACATGGCTTTTTCGACCACTATGCGCCCGTTCGAAAATTTAGATATTTGTCTTAAAAGGGAAACTTTCAGTACAGCTAGTTAGCATATGTTTTATAATAAATAAGTTTGAAGCTTAACAAAAATTACTTTTAACAATAGAATTTATTATTTTAATATGAATTAATGCAGTGGTAACTTTTATCTAAACAGTACTGTGTTTGTGCTCGTTTCGTGTTTATATGAGGTTTGATCCACAAGCTACTCGAAGTCACTTCGAGTTACACATACACGTTCCACCATTAAGTTTTTGAGTTTATTTGATATACGCTGACAGTTTGAACTTTGCTCGAGTTTTTCTACAAGTAGCTTGTGGAACAAACCTATGATCTAAAAATGTGAATGCGAATACAACAAACACATTTGATGGCCAAAATTCAATTCAATTCATTGTATTATTAGATATATTTAATGTATAAAATAAACATCAATTTTACAATGGCTCAAGTAAGAATCTTTGAAACTTAGAAAGTAACAAGTCTTTTCTGTAATCGATTTTTAACCGACTTCACAAAAAGGAGGGGTTATCAGTTCGTCGGAATATTTATTTTTTTTTTATGTATGTTACCGCATAACTTTGGACCACGTTAACCGATTTCGATAATTCTTTTTTCATCGGAAAGGTGGTACCTCAGGGGTTGTCCCATACTAATTTTGTTTTGATCCGATAACACTGTGGAACAAATTGAGGTTAGCAAAAGTTATGTCGATTCTGAGAGTGAGGGGTGAAAATAGAGGCTAAATTAGAAGACCCGTATCGCGGAGTATGTTTATGTTAGTTCGAATTTTTTTTTTAGTCAACCTTCGAACTTTGCAGTCAAATGCCAATTTTCAGCATATTTTTTATATGGTTTTTTGGCTATAACTCGTCGACTAATTGATATTTTTTCAATCAAATTATTGCTGGAGACATGTGCAACAATTAAAATGTAAAAAAAAAAAAATTGATTTAGAAAATTTTTGTAGTGCTTATGAAGCAAAATGATGGAATTTTTTTTTCATGCTTTTTGAACATATTTTCCACAAAACTAAGTCTTTTTTGCTTTCTGTTTGATCTATAATATGCTTCTCAGTTTCTTCAATAAATTTCATTTGAAAAGAAAACAATCATAATACAAAACTTGCGTTTTCCAGCTTAATATTAATTTACTTCTCATTTCTTATGTACCAATTTTTTCAGTGTTGGTTTTGAAGAAACATTGAAAAAGAAATTATAAAAATATGGAAAAAATATAATTTTGAAATGTTAGTTATGAAAAGTTTTAAGTAAAAAAATTAAATAAATTAATGATTTGGCCAGTACTGTGATTAGGAGCTTAATGTGCGGAGTGCCTAAGTCTTTTTTGCTTTCTGTTTGATCTATAATATGCTTTTCAGTTTCTTCAATAAATCTCATTTGAAAAGAAAACAATCATAATACAAAACTTGCGTTTTCCAGCTTAATATTAATTTACTTCTCATTTCTTATGTACCAATTTTTTCAGTGTTGGTTTTGAAGAAACATTGAAAAAGAAATTATAAAAATATGGAAAAAATATAATTTTGAAATGTTAGTTATGAAAAGTTTTAAGTAAAAAAATTAAATAAATTAATGATTTGGCCAGTACTGTGANGTTGTTGTTGTTGTTGTTGTTGTTGTTGTTGTTGTTGTTGTTGTTGTTGTTGTTGTTGTTGTTGTTGTTGTTGTTGTTGTTGTTGTTGTTGTTGTTGTTGTTGTTGTTGTTGTTGTTGTTGTTGTTGTTGTTGTTGTTGTTGTTGTTGTTGTTGTTGTTGTTGTTGTTGTTGTTGTTGTTGTTGTTGTTGTTGTTGTTGTTGTTGTTGTTGTTGTTGTTGTTGTTGTTGTTGTTGTAAATTAATGATTTGGCCAGTCGCCGTTTAGCAGGCGGCTGTGGATCAACATCACTGTTGTTGTTGTTGTTGTTGTTGTTGTTGTTGTTGTTGTTGTTGTTGTTGTTGTTGTTGTTGTTGTAGCGGCTACAACAACCCCGCCCAGGACGGTTGGTATCTCAGTCGTTGTCGTTCAAACAGAAAGCAAAAAAGACTTAGTTTTGTGGAAAATATGTTCAAAAAGCATGAAAAAAAATGTCCAACATTTTGCTTCATAAGCACTACAAAAATTTTCTAAATCAATTTTTTTTTTACATTTTAATTGTTGCACAGGTCTCCAGCAATAATTTGGCTTTAACAGATTGAAAAAATATCAATTAGTCGACGAGTTATAGCCAAAAAAACCATATAAACAATATGCTGAAAATCGGCATTTGACTTCAAAGTTCGAAGGTTGATTAAAAAAAAATTCGAACTAACATAAACAAACGCCGCGATACGGGTCTTCTAATTTAGCCTCTATTTTCACCCCTCACTCTCAGAATCGACCTAACTTTTGCTAACCTGTATTTGTTCCACAGTGTAATTGGATCGTGAAGAAATTAACGATAATCTTAAATTTTTATATGAGAATTGAATTCAGTTTTGTTTTTTGCTTAAAAATTACTTGTTACATATGTAATTCCCTTCACATTTGCACATTGACCATTTTCATTCTCTCTTCCACAATAGTTCCCCATCAAACCCCAACGATGCACACTATTCAACAAATTACATCGGGTGCTGCAGCAGCTAATGCCGTACAGTTGGCGCCCAGTCTTGTACCGTTGGTTACCTCGACGATAACATCGCACAACAGCCAGAAACCTCAGCAACAACAGCAGCAACAGCAGGCACATCAGCAACATCAACAACAAGTGCAACAACAACAGCAGCATCAACAACAACAACAACAACAACAACAGCAGCAACAGCAACAACTGCAACAACAACAATTGCTACAATTGTCCATACAACATCAGCAGCAACAACAGGAACAACATCGCCAACATCAGCAACAACAACAGCAAGGACACCACCAACAATCGCAGGCGCAGGCGCAGGCACAACAGCAAGCACATGCGCCGCAACCGCAGCCCCAACAACCGCCTTCGGTACCTATCGCGCTAATACAAACCGATCCAAGCGTATTGGCAAGGGCAGCCATGCAATTGCAGCACCTGCCAGCCAATGTCGAGCAACATCCGGTGGTTTACTAACAGCAGCATGATTTCGCACATTGGTGAGGCGCGTTGACGGCAGCGTTCAACAATAACAACAGCGCTGATGAAATCGGCGATGGCGGTGGAACGGTGCTGAGATAAATGCGCGCAAGGCTGCAGCTGCTACAGCGATTCCGACGGCGACTGGTGCTTTGGTGACGCAGACGAGACTAGAAGTTTGCGAAATTGTGGGAAGTTGAATTTGACGTCAAAGCTGCAGAAACTTTGGACCAGTTTCAAAAATAAAGAGAGAAAAATACGTTTGGATATATGCATGTACTTTTAGGTTGATATATTTAAATAACTATTTTATCACTGCTGCACTATTGCACGTGAAAATTAGTTAATGCAACAATATGTAACTAACAAAAAAACTTTAAACGGCGTTATTGGAGTATAATTTTAATCAACAAAACGATGTTTGAAAATGATGCAAACTTTCTAAAATTGTATGACACTTTAAATTCGTCACGCTGTTTGCGGCTTAGCGTAAGTCTGGCATGGTGCGAACATAACTTTTACTTTTTTGCTGTTTTACTCTTTCACTTGTATGTAGTTATATGCGAAAAGCCAAAGTCTATGGAAACTCTATTTTGAAGCTTTACATTTTCAGCTTTACTCTTTTTTTCAATTAGATACTTTGTATTCAAAGTTTCGAGTGGTAGTACTGTGCAATAAAAGAGTTTTTCAAACCTCTACTTCTAAAGTAGTGGCTCTTTATTTTATGTAACCAGTGTATTTCCATGTACGCATACATCCTCTAGAGTTATGCTAAGAAGCCAACAGCGATCGAGAGTAAAAACGATTGGTAGGTGGCAAATTTGTTTGAAAATCGGCACTGAAGTTGAAGAGCCAAAAAAAGAAATTTAGAAAATCGTAAATTACAAGCTTTAAAACTTTATTTTTGTTATTGTAATGGATTAATAATTATTTTGTTATCGAAAATTGTAGGCTAAAGTTGAACACTGAAGGCCATAGACCGCTTTCTGAACATTCATTAGCAATAATCTTAAAGTGCTCAGATTATATCTATTTCGTGCCATTTCTTTACATATGCATATATGTATGTATGTAGGAATTAACATTTATTAAGAAGTATTTCAAAAATATTTTAAAATTGTTTTCTGCCACCTACAAAAAATTTGTCCGTTATCATTTCGTGGAATTCAATCGCTTTTGCCCTTAAGTTATTCGGCCCTATGCTGAATATCGTCATCGTCAGTAAAAGTGATGATAAGGCAATCGTCAGCCGTATTACCGATGCGCTGACGATCGTCGACAATGACGATATTCAGCATAGGGCCGATTATTTTTTATTCGACTCTGTTAGTTTTTCCTTACTTTTTGCAGCTAAGGTGGTTGGAACACTTGTAAGACAGTCATTCTTAATCTACATATTACATATATGTGTTAAACGTAGTTAACCTTAAAGAGGTACGCTGTATTATTCGCATTTTAGAAATAACTAAAATTAAGTGGCTCCGAAGAGAAAATAATAGCAAAGAAAAAAATCTAATGAAATGTGTATTTCATTTTAATTGAAGTTTAATCGAGAAGGAAAAGGCATATATGAGTAAATTATTTACATGAGTAGAAGTATGGCTTTAAGCGTAGAATATGCAAAAAAAAACTAATATTAAGCGACTAAATTCGGTATTATTTTTGATGAAATGTGAAGGATAAATAACCAAATTGACTAAATGTTAAATAACAAGAAAATAAAAAAGTAAGAAAACAAGACCAACACGAGAAATTGGGAAAATTCCAAATTTAAACTTAAACAGACACTGAAACATATGTATGTTGAAAATAAGTAAGCAGCAATACCAAGCAAATATTCAATGAAAAGTCTAAAAAGTAAAAGCCTATGCAAAAGTTTTAAAACGACAACTTAGTGAACATGAAGAATTAAGAAAATCATTCAATTAGTTTATACAAAACATATGTGCATATATATTATTACTGGCGGCATTACTAATAAAATGAATGCACTAAGGCACAAGCATACACAAATACACCATATGCAGTAGCATATAAATATAACGAAATATAGCATACATACAAAAATGTATAAAAAATTTTAAAAGTGACAGATGTGAGAAGATATGTGAAATTGAATGTGGTACATGTATGTATATTAGCGACTAAAATTGTATTGTTTACAATATATTTTTTTTTGCGAAAAATAGTTATTGGAAATTTTATTTCAAAAGGTCATTTCTTCTCGGTTAGGGTTATTTCACGTAAGGTAATGATTTCTTTAACACTCTACCCCGATAAAATATTGGTATTTCATTATTGTTCACAATCATCTAATAACTTTTGCATAACAAATTTGTATACTAACAAGATTTTTTAAACACATTGACACACCATTTACATACATGCCTAACTACTACGACATCTTCATATACATCCACAATTATTTATCAACTACATATATATATATACAGCGCAACATACAGATATACTATAATCAACCGTAAAAGTAGTATACATATAAAGAGCCTCACTAACCAGAGACGTGAACCGGTTTTGAACCGGAAAACCGCTTTTTTTCTATTAATTAACTGAACCGAACCGAAATTTTCCACAAATGTTTAATCCGAACAGAAAACTGAACCACTTTTCATAAAGGTTTAAAGGTTCGTTTCCACCAATTTTCAATAGATAAATTTAATTGCTTTTTTTCTTTTCGTTAAATATTGTAATGCATACCATGTTTGTTTACCATGTGGCAATATCAAATATAAAGGCAACCCTTCTCATTTAACAGACATTTGAAATTTAACCTTGTACGTGTTGCACTTGACACTTTACACTTAAACTTGCGCGTTATTTTTTCATTTCCGAACCGTTGAAAAGAACCAAAACCCCGGTTCAAAGACCAAAAAACGCTTCTCGAGCCAATCCAAAAGTGCAAAACCGGTTCGAACCGCTGAACCGAACCGATCAAATTTTTCATCCGGTTCATGTCCCTGTGTATAACACTAATTATTAATATTAACTGTTTACGCTTTAATTTAAAATTAATCAATACGCATAAATTAATGGTACCATTACGGTTAGTTATTAATAAGGGTGGTTACGGTTGAAGATACGTTGGGGAGAAAAAAGCGTAGCAAAAACAAAACACCAACAACATTTTTGTGTAGAACTGCAAGCAAATTCTTACATATACTACATACATACATACTCGTATATACTAATAAACGCAGGTAAAACATAAAATGAGAAAAATGTAGTTTTAGTTCATAATAACATGATAGAAACTTAGAAACGTTTACTATGCTAACAGCAGCAGCAATGATCACTATAATTATTGCTATTATATTAAAAGAAAAACATATACATATATACATACTATATTTACGCAACCATGAATAATAAAATATTGAAAATATATAGATACTAATGTTTATAAATTGAAAACAACAAAACATAAAAAGTAGCTTGAAATATGCGCGCTGAGCGTTTAATGAGCATAAAAGGAGAACCATAAAAATACAAGGTATAACTAAGCGAGCCACGATGGTATAACATTGATCCCATAAATAGTCTAGGAACGCTGGAAAATTCTTAAACAATAATTTATAACGCAAGTGTGGGTGGTTGCGGCTGTGCATACATAGGCAGTATTGACATTTTGGCAAGCTACAAAATTTAAAGATTTGTGTTCTTGGTGGGTGCAAAATCTAATTACAGGTCTATTCTGCACGTTACCGAAGATTTTGTAGCCGCAAAATTTTATTACCAAAAAAGGTTACCAGTTCTTGCCACCGCGATTCTAGGTACGTTGGTACTGCAGTTAAAATATTCAGCAATTCAGCTATAAAGAATTGTGCAAATCCTGGCATTGCATATTTCACGGGGCAATAATTTGTTACCAGCTTATAAGATGGTAACAAAATTTACCGGTTACAAGAGTACACAGAATGCGAAAAGGGTTTAAAAATTGACAGAATCTTTATTTACCGGTTACAAATTTTTTATTACAAGCGCTGAATAGACCTGTTAATAGCATACCATAAATAGTATATGCGATTGCATAAATATCGATGGCAATGGAAGGAAAGTTCCGAGTTAAGCTCGATGCAAAAAGAAAACATTCAGAACACACAATAGTATATTTTTCACCGCCGAGAAGCATTGTTTACAAATCTAGCAAACTAAATAGTGTGCTTATACATATGTACATATGTAAATTTGTGCAAATTGAAAAGAAATCGAGTTTATGAAAACGTGGAAAAAAAATTTTAATTAGTACAACGGAGTTCTGGTTGAACGATTCGTCAGAGGATGAAGCTTAGAAAACTGGCCAAGAGCAGATAACGTTTAAGAGAGTTTAAGTGCAGTCTTTCGAATATATTTTGACACTATATATTTAAGAAATTTTGTGATCCAAATCTACTTAAAATATATTAAAACTATAAACAGATCTATGATTTTGTTCTCAGAGATCGTGCCAACAGCGTATTGGCATTTCCTTTCATAAGTAAAACCAGACATTCGAGCTTGCGTTTTGTATTCACGACGTTGCAATTGCATGAAATTAATAAAAATTGTTTAGAATTAGTGTCTAGCCGCCAAAAAGTAAGGAAACAAATGCAAAATCATAAATTTTTCACAATTTTCTAACTCTGCGCTACACCAACGAAAGCAAAATTCTGTTCGACAGAAAATTCGATACTCAACGAAAATTTCGACACGCTTGCATAGCTCATAATACGAATTTCACTTTCGATCTTCGATAGCCAGCGAAGATCGAAAATCGAATGCAACTCATAATAAGGGCCCAGCTTATGAAATGGTAACAAAATTTATCGGTTACAAGTGTACACAGAATGCGAAAAGGGTTTAAAAATTGAAAGGAATTTTATTTACCGGTTACAAAATTTTTATTAACAGCGCAGAATAGACATGTAAACAACGATTTGTGTGGCCGACTGACAACATACATACATATGTATGTACATATATGTACGTAGATATACTTGCTAATGGAAAGCACAGAAGGTGTATGTGCTGCGTTTTTTACTTCATTTCGGTTTGTAAAGAAATGTGCTAACCTTCCCAGTGGCTTCCTAGTATGTAAAGAACAGAACGAGTAACTACATAAATAAATAAATAATGACAAGAATATGTATGTTAGCGGTTATGTTTATGATTATTGAAAAGAAATATACACATATATAAACACAAGATAAACATATTTTCCAAAAATGATTGAAATAAAAGAAATACACAACTATATCCAAAACGAAACATATTTGAAACTGAACTAAGTTGGTTATTTATACTTTAAAAAAGTTGAATGGCAACCAATAAAAAAAATATATATATATGCATACATATATATTATATGAGAGAAAAGCATAATGCATAAATCTGCACTAATCATAAATTGAAAAGAAAGCAAGTTGCATAGTTAAAACATATCCTTAAAAGTATAGCACAGTATGTCGAATGAGTAAAAATTAATAATATATTGTAGCGCATAAAAAAATAAAAAAGTAGGCACTGTTTTAAGTTAAACAATTAGCTGACGAACCACACAACTTACGAGCCCATTATGCCCTTAAAAATTGGAAAATAACCAGAAAAATAATAATACATATAAACTTAAAAGCATTACTTTATATCTTAATGCATTGCAATTATATATATTTCATTTGCTTCTAAAAACAATAAAAATTTGAGTTTTATTTCGTTTGCAGTCAATGACATAATTTCAGAATTATTTTAATATTATCATTTTTTAAATTTCAGTTGGTTATTGTTTTATACAGCCCGTTTCAGCAAAATAAGTTGTTCATAATTTTCTTAATTTAACTGCCCCGTATTAGACTATCTTCAAGTTGTTTTTTTAAAGCAATGTTAAGGACATAACATATATTCGCAAACAAACTTCAAATCTTGGGTTTATATGGGTTTTGTTAGAGGAGGAACTGTATTTTAATTGGAAATTTGTAAAAATATATAAATTAACATAGGTGGCAAACAATATAAATAATTTTGAATTGTTTGCAAATGATATGTCCGATACTGTATGTATTCCCCAGTGAAAAAAATATCCAGGACCAGCCAGTAACTTAACTTAATTTCTGAGAATCGCTCTCAATAATATTAGTCAGCGCTACCACTGAATCCATAGTAGGTTCGATTTTCCTGAAATCTACGAAAGTGCTATCAGTGAATCCGAATAGCTACGAACGGAAATTCGAAATTCGTAGAGAGCCTTCACTGAATTCGTTTGTATTAAAGATTCATACAGATACTCTACGACGAGTTTGTGCTGCCGGTACAAAATTTAAAATCGCTGAATCTTAAAAGTAATGCAAAAAAGCTGCACTTTTGTTATTAATAATAAGATTTTATTATACTCCCAATTTTCTATAGTTTCATATACATAATTCGTATATTTGTGTAAATGTAGGCGTAAAATAGCAATGAAATATGTACATATCGAGGGCTTAAAGGGTGAACACACCAAAACTGCGACACTTAGAAATTTCTACCAGAAACAAACTAGAAAGCTTTGATTTTTTTTTATTATGATACCTTGAAGTTTAGACATAATTAATATGTTAAAACATTAGTTATTATTGGGTCCATATGCAAGGGATTGGATATTTCGTTGCACACGCGCCATCATGTTCTGCACGAGTGCATCATCGGCTTTACGCGATGCCCACAACCACTTTGTTTTGAACTCTTCAATATTTTTTACTGTTTCACCTGTTTTCTTCAAGATTCATTTGACGATTGACCAATATTCCCCAATAGGACGTAGCTCTTGGCTATTGGGTGGATTGCAGTCGTGAGGTATAAAATTGATGTTATTGGCATCAATTGCTTGCCATGTCCGCCCAGAACAGTGGTCTAATACCATGTCTGTTGATAAATGACAGAAGACGCTTTTTGAGGCACTCATCCCGATAAACTTGAGCGTTCTTTATTCCGGATGTAAAAAAGGGCTGCTCTTACGGTCACAGGAACAAATAGCATGCCAAACCATGTTTTAGCTTTCAGGAACATCTTGACGACTTGCAGCAATGTAAAAATTTTGACCAGTAATATATTTTAAATTTTTAAAGCAGTAGGTTTCGTCGTCCATAACAATGCATTTGTATTTTGTAATTTAAAATGCATACAACTTCCGACTGCGGGCTTTTGCTGTAACATTCTGCTTTGCGCCTCGGTCTGGCGCTGTTTGAGCTGGAGAACTTCTCAATGAAGCTTTCCGCTTTACCTTTTGTACGAAAGACTGCGATCTACATACGGATTTTGCAAAATAACGCGACCAAACCTTCGAATCATGCGGAAACGTACTGAGGACCTTCGAAGCACTGTTTTACCACTTAGACAATGTTCTCCCCCGCTCCCAGGTTTTCCAGTAACTGTCAAACCTTATTTTGTAAAATCCTTCGTGTCGAATGGTGCAATTTTTAATTTTTAGCAATTTTACGCGCATAGGTTCATTTCTTATCTTTTTGGACTAAAATCTGAATAGTGTCAAAATGCCAGAGCGTAAGCAAAATGCGCTCACTAAAAGAAAATAACAGGAAAAGTAAAGGAACGCAAGAAACCAAAGAATGGCAACAACAAAACTAACGTCAAATAAGAATGGGAATGTATGTACAAAACACATTCACACGAGCACAAGCACAATAAACACTTATATATCAATTATTTTTTGCCTCCTTCCAATTTCAATTCACTTTTTTTACTTTTAAATTATTCTCACTTTTTGCGTATTCTTTAATTTCCGTTAATTTAAATTCAGTTGAGTTTGACCAAGGCGCAGTCATACAAGTGGTGGCAATTGCATATAATTAAATTCCCGTGTCTTTTGTTATTGCTTTTTGGTACAGGAGGATGTCAAAACGAAAGGGAATAGGAGATAGTTTTCGTCATTTCGTTTTGTTGACATCCTAAAGTTGCGCCACTTCGTCTTGGATGACATTCTCCTGTACTAGTGTAGAGACAAAAATATCCAATCAGCTGATCAATCAACACCACCTTGTATAGATGCGCCTTGAGTTTGACACTTTTCAGGATTTTGCCAGAAAAAATTCTTCTGACTACTTCGGACTGAAGAGAGTCACTCTCACTGAGTGTTGCTCTCTAATTTTTGCTGTAATTTTCGAGTTAAGGAACGCTTTTTGGACTAACCCCTCTATTCTAACAGAGTCACAAAACTTAGCTCATCAGTGTTGTGATTTCTAGTGCGCCGAGAAATGTGTCACAAAAAATTC